TACTCATATCAGATAAAATAGACTTTCAAATAAAGGATGTGAAAAGAGACAAAGATGGACACTACATAATGATCAAAGGATCAATCCAAGAAGAAGATATAACAATTATAAATATATATGCACCCAACATAGGAGCACTGCAATATGTAAGGCAAACACTAACGAGAATGAAAGAGGAAATTAATAGTAACACAATAAGAGTAGGAGACTTTAATACCCCACTCACAACTATGGATAGAGCAACTAAACAGAAAATGAACAAGGAAACACAAACTTTAAAGGACACAATGGACCAGCTAGACCTTATTGACATCTACAGGACGTTTCACCCCAAAACAATCAACTTCACCTTTTTCTCAAGTGCACATGGAACCTTCTCCAGAATAGACCACATCCTGGGCCATAAATCTATTCTTGGTAAATTCAAAAGAATGGAAATCATTCCAGTCATCTTTTCTGACCACAGTGCAGTAAGATTAGATCTCAATTACAGGAAAAAAAAAATTATTAAAAATTCAAACATATGGAGGCTAAACAACACACTTCTGAATAACCAACAAATCAAAGAAGAAATCAAAAAACAAATCAAAATATGTATAGAAATGAATGAAATTAAAACACAGCAACCCAAAACCTATGGGACACTGTAAAAGCAGTGCTAAGGGAAAGATTCATAGCATTACAGGCCTACCTCAAGAAACAAGAAAAAAGTCAAATAAATAACCTAATTCTACACCTAAAGCAATTAGAGAAGGAAGAAATGAAGAACCCCAAGGTTAGTAGAAGGAAAGAAATCTTAAAAATTAGGGCAGAAATAAATGCAAAAAAACTAAAGAGACCATAGCAAAAATCAACAAAGCTAAAAGCTGGTTTTTTGAAAAAATAAACAAAATTGACAAACCATTAGCAAGACTCATTAAGAAACAAAGGGAGAAGAACCAAATTAACAAAATTAGAAACGAAAATGGAGAGATCACAACAGACAACACTGAAATACAAAGGATCATAAGAGACTACTACCAGCAGATCAATGCCAATAAAATGGACAACTTGGAAGAAATAGACAAGTTCTTAGGGAAGTATAACTTTCCAAAACTGAATCAGGAAGAAATAGAAGATCTTAACAAACCCATCACAAGCAAGGAAATTGAAACTGTAAACAGAAATCTTCCAGCAAACAAAAGTCCAGGACCAGATGGCTTCACAGCTGAATTCTACCAAAAATTTAGAGAAGAGCTAACACCTATCTTACTCAAACTCTTCCAGAAAATTGCAGAAGAAGGTAAGCTTCCAAACTCATTCTATGAGGCCACCATCACCCTAATTCCAAAACCAGACAAAGATGCCACAAAAAAAGAAAACTACAGGACAATATCACTGATGAACATAGATGCAAAAATCCTTAACAAAATTCTAGCAAACAGAATCCAACAACATATTAAAAAAAATCATACACGATGACCAAGTGGGCTTTATACCAGGAATGAAAGGATTCTTTAATATCTGCAAATCAATCAGTGTAATACACCACATTAACAAATTGAAAGGTAAAAATCATATGATTATCTCAACAGATGCAGAAAAAGCCTTTGAAAAAATTCAACATCCATTTATGATTAAAACTGTCCAGAAAGCAGGAATAGAAGGAACATACCTCAACATAATAAAAGCTATATATGACAAACCCACAGAAAGCATCACCCTCAATGGTGAAAAATTGAAAGCATTTCCCCTGAAATCAGGAACAAGACAAGGGTCCCCACTCTCACCACTCCTATTCAACATAGTTTTGGAACTGTTGGCCACAGCAATCAGGGCAGAAAAAGAAGTAAGAGGAATCCAGATAGGAAAAGAAGAAGTGAAACTCTCTCTGTTTGCAGATGACATGATCCTCTACATAGAAAACCCTAAAGACTCTTCCAGAAAATTACTAGAGCTAATCAACGAATATAGTAAAGTTGCAGGATATAAAATTAACACACAGAAATCTCTTGCATTCCTATACACTAACCATGAAAAAACAGAAAGAGAAATTAAGGAAACGATACCATTCACCATTACAACAAAAAGAATAAAATACTTAGGAGTATATCTACCTAAAGAAACAAAAGACCTATACATAGAAAACTATAAAACACTGATGAAAGAAATCAAAGAGGACACAAACAGATGGAGAAACATACAGTGTTCATGGATTGGAAGAATCAATATTGTCAAAATGGCTACACTACCCAAAGTAATCTATAGATTCAATGCAATCCCTATCAAACTACCAACGGTATTTTTCACAGAACTAGAACAAATAATTTCACAATTTGTATGGAAATACAAAAAACCTCGAATAGCCAAAGTAACCTTGAGAAAGAAAAATGGAACTGGAGGAATCAACCTGCCTGACTTCAGACTCTACTACAGAGCCACAGTCATCAAGACAGTATGGTACTGGCACAAAAACAGAAATATAGATCAATGGAACAGAATAGAAAGCCCAGAGATAAATCCACGAACCTATGATCACCTTATCTTCAACAAAGGAGGCAAGGATATACAATGGAAAAAAGACAACCTCTTTAACAAGCGGTGCTGGAAAAACTGGTCAACCACCTGTAAAAGAATGAAACTAGAACACTTTCTAACACCATACACAAAAATAAACTCAAAATGGATTAAAGATCTAAATGTAAGACCAGAAACTATAAAACTCCTAGAGGAGAACATAGGCAAAACACTCTCCGACATAAATCACAGCAGGATCCTCTATGACCCACATCCCAGAATTTTAGAAACAAAAGCAAAAATAAACAAATGGGACCTAATGAAACTTAAAAGCTTTTGCACAACAAAGGAAACTATAAGCAAGGTGAAAAGACAGCCCTCAGGTTGGGAGAAAATAATAGCAAATGAAGCAACAGACAAAGGTTTAATCTCAAAAAATATACAAGCAACTCCTGCAGCTCAATTCCAGAAAAATAAATGACCCAATCAAAAAATGGGCCAAAGAACTAAACAGACATTTCTCCAAGGAAGACATACAGATGGCTAAAACACATGAAAAGATGCTCAACATCACTCATTATCAGAGAAATGCAAATCAAAACCACAATGAGGTACCATTACACGCCAGTCAGGATGGCTGCTATCCAAAAGTCTACAAGCAATAAATGCTGGAGAGGGTGTGGAGAAAAGGGAACCCTCTTACACTGTTGGTGGGAATGCAAATTAGTACAGCCACTATGGAAAACAGTGTGGAGATTCCTTAAAAAGCTGGAAATAGAACTGCCATATGACCCAGCAAAACCACTTCTAGGCATACACACTGAGGAAACCAGATCTAAAAGAGACACGTGCACCCCAATGTTCATCGCAGCACTGTTTCTAATAGCCAGGACATGGAAGCTACCTAGAGGCCCATCGGCAGACGAATGGATGTGGAAGCTGTGGTACATATACACCATGAAATATTACTCAGCCATTAAAAATAATTCATTTGAATCAGTTCTAATGAGATGGATGAAACTGGAGCCCATTATACAGAGCGAAGTAAGCCAGAAAGATAAAGACCATTACAGTATACTAACACATATATATGGAATTTAGAAATATGGTAACGATAACCCTATATTCAAAAAAAGAAAAAGAGACTCAGATGTATAGAACAGACTTGTTGACTCTGTGGGAGAAGGCGAGGGTGGGATGTTTTGAGAGAACAGCATCAGAACATGTATATCTAGGGTGAAACAGATCACCAGCCCAGGTTGGATACATGAGACAAGTGCTCGGGCCTGGTGCACTGGGAAGACCCAGAGGGATGGGGTGGAGAGGGAGGTCGGAGGGGGGACCGGGATGGAGAATACATGTAAATCCATGGCTAATTAATTTCAATATATGACAAAAACCACTGCAATTAGCCTCCAACTAATAAAAATAAATGAAAAAAAAAAAAGGATGACATAGGATGGAGCAGGGCTCAGCTACTTTATTAAAGTACTGAGTTGGCCAAAAAGTTTGTGAACCCAAACGAACTTTTTGGCCAACCCTAGGGAACATCTAATGGCTTGCTTTTAGGTTACATCAGGTGGTATGACATGTGAAAATAACTCAGTCAAAACAAAACCCCATGACTGCTCCAACAGAGACCTCATTCCTTAGGCTATGCAATCAGATGCTCTAACCAGGAAAGGGTTTGGGTCACTGTCATGGGAATCCAGGCATTTTAGAATGGGAACTCCTTATTTTTCCTATTCGGCTTAATGTGGACACAGCATACTCCAGCGTTTAGGAAATTTTCCTTCTCCATAATCATACCGAAGTCTGAAGTGAGACAATGCAAACTCTCTATCCCAATTCACAGATAACAAAGCTGAGCTGCTCTGCTAGAAAAACCTTCCTAGCCCATAATGCCCAAAGGGCAACTCTAGACCTTCTTCCCTAAATGACTGAAGCAGGAGTGAACATCTGACCCACAGAAAACCCAGCAGGTTCTCTTGCCAACAGTTTGGGAAAATGAAAAAAAAAATTAGTTCAGGAGTTGGCAAACTATTGCCCATTAGCCCAATCTGGCAACGCCCACTAGTGTATATGTTAACTGTTTTCCACTTCCTGAAAGAAAAAGGTCACACAGACATGGATGCTGTGACCACCATGTGGGGGTGGGAGGGTCATATGCATTCCAAACAGAGGCAGCTGTGCTCAGAGACTTGTAGGGAGGCGGGAAAAGAGAGAGACTGTGCAAGAGAGCAGATAAGGGCTAAGCATTTCAGAGGAGAAAGGGCATATAGGGCCTGACAACCTTCCAATATCCATGAGACACATAAGTCCTGCTTGAGACCCATGCTCCCTCCATGTGATAACCTTATATATCCTAAAATAAACCTTTTTTACCTAAACTAAAAAAAAAAAAAAGATTAGAAAATACACAGGGCCATTACAACGACAGTTATACCTGAACACTGACAGCTAATTGTAGCTTCTTTGTTTCCTTTGGCAAATGCTCGGTAAAGAATACCTCTAACGAGAGTGCAGATCATGAGAAAAACCCGCAGTGAAAAAAAAATGCTGAACAATTTCCTGAAGGAACATGCTTACAGTCTGTACCAGACTTCTTCTCCTGGCTCAAATATAACTACTCACCCCATGAGAAACATCAAGGATGTGAGTATTTTGGGAGGATGGTGCTTCACAGCTCCCCCTGCTGCTCTAGCCTAGCATTGGGGCTCAACTGGAGGTGCCAGGTGGGATGTTGGAGTTGGGGTTCCTGCAGGAGGTAGAAACACTGGAAAACAGGGACCCCACCCAGAGGAGAGCACACTCTCATCCTCAAATGTTGGTCTTTGTGACTGGGCCTGGCAATTACCAGGTGGTAGGTAAAGATCCATTTCTGTGTCAAAGATGTGTCATTAGTTTGAGGGAAATGAATGAGTTCCTTCTGAAATAAGTGAGTCAGTCAGTTACAGATGAAGAGTGAACCATCACTGATCACATGGTAGAACCAACGGCAAATCAACTGTGAATGACTAGGCAGAGGAATTCAGTTTACACAGCAGCAAGAACCACAGCCCTAAAATATTACTGAACCCGTATTCCGTGTAAGGCCATGAGTATCTAACACTGTGGTTACTGTTTTTAGATTGGAAAAAGGGCTTATTTTGTCTTCAAGAATGCTCATGCCGACCTGAGAGATAGGCATATTAGTAAATACATGTTAAATGAAAGGGTCACCTGTGTGGTGTTGATTGAATGTGGTCTGAGTTTAGACGGAGTGGCTGGGGTTGATCAAGAAGGACCTCCTGGAGAAGGGGGCGTTAAGGCTGGGTTTGAAGAGACTATACAGCTTCTCAAATGAAAGCACCAGGACTTCCCTGGGTGTCCAGTGGTCCAGGAGGCCTAGTGGTTATGCCTCTGTGCTTCCAATACAGGAGGTACCACTTCAATGCCTGGTCATAGAGTCAGTATCCTGCATACCATGTAGCACAGGAAATATATATCAAATGCAGGCACCTCTGTGACCAAAGTCAGTGAACTGCATGGTGGTTAGAAAGTGATCTCAAGAGATATGTGACATCCAGAGGGAGGCATGAGTGTGGGAATAGAGGGTAGCCAGTTCTGCACTAACCTACTCACTCATTTTCCCTGTAGATGTTCTACATGGGTAACATCACCATTGGAACACCCCCTCAGGAATTCCAGGTTGCCTTTGACACAGCATCATCTGACTTGTGGGTGCCCTCCTACTTTTGCATCAGCCCAACCTGTCGTGAGTACAGACACCCCGCACCCAGATGATCATTCTCTTGCCCTGCCACCCTGTTTTGCACTCTTGGCACCTGATGACACTTATCTCTTGTGTCTACAGACTCACACGTTATGTTCAGACATCTTGAGTCTTCCACCTTCCAGCTTATCACAAAGACCTTCAAAACTGAATACGGTTCTGGGAAGATGCAGGGAGTTCTTGGTCGTGACACCGTTCGGGTAACAGTGTAACAAATGCTGAGTCAGGACTGGCTGTGGGGTGACCACTGCTTGCAAAACAGATGCAGGGCCATCTGGCAGGACCCTTTCCAGCCTAAATCCCCTAGATATTGGCCATCTTACCCACAGGATCCTGTCCCTGGGTAGGCAGTGCCCGTGGTGACACACGAGCACTCAGATTAGCTAACCCAGAGAGTGGCTTGAGATGGGGACTTGCAGCTTCTCTGCCCATGAGCAGTTCAAGGTTCATTTTGCTGGGAGCGAGAAGAGGGAGGAAAAGACACCCACTTTTATATTCACAGACTGTTCCAGGCACTTTCAGTTGATAACTAGTTTAGTTCTACAACAACCCCACACAGCAGTTACTCTGATAAGCTCATGATACATATGAGAAAACTGAGGTACAGACATCAAGGGCCTTGCTGAGGACACACATGTGGCAAACTGTGGAGCTCAACTGGCTTTTCAGGACTGCAGTTGCTGTGGGATGTTTGGGGACAGGATAAAACTGATCTGGGGACCCTTGGGGCAGTCAAGGGCTTCAGGTATCCAGACTGGGAAACTGGAGGCCTGAGAAGTTAGGGGGCCTCATAAATGAGTTCTCAGTCTAGGAGGCCTTTAAGAGTCCAACAAAACTTATGGCCTGCCTCCCCCAAAGTACTTGAGTAGTTCCCCCTCTCTCTCTCTCATACACACTCACACAAAGACACACTTATTGCCAAAAGTGAATCCCCAGGCAGGAATTTCATGGATACCTGCAAGCAAGATTGTGTTTCTGGCTTCTGTCTTCATGGACAGATGCAGAATCCACAGTACCTTACAGAGAATGCAGCCCATTCCTCTCATTAGGTCAAAGTGATGCCAAAGAGAAGGCTACCTTTCTCTCAGCTCATTTTGTCCACAATGGGGCACTGATGGGACCTGCCTGATTCTTGGTTGCCCCACCTGCACAGAAGTCATGAGGCCAATTTGACACCCAAGTGGTGTTTTTCAGAGGGGCACACGTTTTAAAATTCACAGCCTCTCTCAAATGGAACACAAAATTCCTCTCCCAGCTTAGTCTAACTGTCTGAGGTCCACTGAAGACACAGCCCAGTCTCAATTCTTCTCTGAGGATCTACTGGCAATGCACACCAGCCCAGTCCTAGCCCCAATTCACATATCTGTAAGTGGAATCACTCTTCTCTCCCACAGATTGGGGACCTTGTAAGTATAGACCAGCTATTCGGTCTAAGCCTGGAGCAATCCGGGTTTGCGGAATTACCTTTTGATGGCGTCTTGGGCTTGAGCTACCCCAACATGTCTTTCATTGGAGGCATCCCCATCTTTGACAACCTAAAGAAGCAAGGTGCCATTTCTGAGCCTGTCTTTGCCTTCTACTTGAGCAAGTAAGTCTGAGATGGACAATCCGTTTCTCCAAATTAGCTGTAATTTGCTTTCAGTTGTAGGAAATTAATAGAACATTTTATAAAGAAGTATCCTGAGAGATAATCAAATCCAAGATAACTATGGCCCCAAGGCCCTACCTGGCTTCACCACTGGCTTTTATAAATAACATTTTATTGGAACATAAACCTGCTCCTGGGCTCAAGATCAGTAACTTGGTCTAGGGGGATGAGTGAGGAGAAAGACTAATGGAAGGCAAGAGGAAACAAGTTGGAGGGAAAGGCATTAGGATTTGCTTATGTATTGGATAAGGAAGGAGAAGGATGTTGGGTAGCTTTCCTTCCTCATTAGCATTTCACTGCGAGCCCAGGACCAGCTACTCAATTTCCAATAGCCAGTGAAAAAGGAAAATGTGGGAGGTCACAGGCCAGTGGAGCCAACTCTGGGTGACCTGAAACCATACCCTTAGCACTCCCAGGCCTTGATTTTCTTGAAAAAATGACAAAGTGGATAAGAGGAGAGAGAAAATGCTTCAGCACCCTGTCCTTTGAGGGTGTCTGAGCACTCATGTCACAGGAGGTCCAGGGCATCTTCAGAAGATATAGTGGGTGGAGCCCAGCAAGATGACTCAGCTTCTAACCTCCTCTGTGCCACTCATTAGCCAGTAACCTACCTCAGTCTGGTTCTCAATTGCTCCTAGCCTCGATTTCTGCATCTGTTGATGAAGACCTTATTAGGGCCTTGATGGGTAGACAAGCACAGCTCTCAGACAGTGTTGTTGTTACCACCCTCCAAGGATCCCCTCACTGTCTTCTCTCTACAGAAGCAAGCCGGAGGGCAGTGTGGTGATGTTTGGTGGGGTGGATAAATCCTACTACCAGGGAACGCTCAATTGGGTACCATTGATCCAAGCACGCACCTGGTGTGTACACATGGACTGGTAAGCCTCTCTTTCTGAGGTTCAGCCCAAGGGAGGCTCCCACTACTGTACAGACACAGGCAGACACTCACAAATGCATTCTCAGACAAACAGTCACAGAGACATATACACCACCCACAATGACAGAGACAGACACAAAGACACATGCAAAAAACAAACAGACACATATAAACATACAAAGAGACACATAAAAACATGCAAGAATTGCATAGCTAGTTAGAGACACAGAAGCACACACAGAGACACATATAAACAAACATAGAAGCAAATAGATACACAAACAGCCCATGGGTTCATAATCCCCAGGCCTCCTCACCTGGGCTCAAAGCAGGGTCCTCAAAGGGTCCAGAGAAGTCTGTGCAGCTGGGAGAGTGCTGCACCCACTGCCCTTTGAGGCAGGGAGCACAGTCAAAGGACTCTACAGTGTGGTGAACAGGATCAGGGAGGATTTTACCAGCATGGACAGCATTATAAGATGACAAAATATCCAGGTATACCTAGGACCAAGGAAGTTCTCAGTAGAAATAAATGTCAGTTTACAGACAGGGAAAGTCTTGAGAAAATGGGGAAAACTGTTCTCCTTATGGAGAAGCTACCCAGCAGTGGAAAGAGGTTGGCTGCAGTCTTAAGATGTGAAAGCAATTAATAAAAACGACACCCCACATCCCTGAGCACAGAGTGGGGCAGGGGCTATAACTGAGAGATTCAGAAAGGTGGGATCCAGGAGTGACCTTAGGACAAGAGGCAACAACTGATAGGATTCTGTGAGATACCTTCAGACAAAAGCTGACATGTCCTTTGGAGTTTCCGTGGGCTAGTCATGTATTACCTGGCCAGGGTCTCAGGGTCTGAGCTGGTTGTAGGAGCAGTGCTGGGAGACACCCTCTCCCAGAGGAGCCCCTCTCTCCCCCTACTATGAGAATCTGCTGCCCGTGCGAATATCCATCTTCACTCTGTGTTTGACCAATTATTTCCTCCCCACCAGATACAGCTCTCTGGATGTTTCTCATTATTTTCAGTCTTCATTCACTCATTGAACAGACAAACATTGGGCATCCACTGTGTGCCAGGCACTTTAGGGAGGCAATGAGAATAAAACTCACCCTCACATTTAAGAAAGCAGATGCACAGAAATGACACAGACAAATAGTGAATTGTGACTTTTGTACATGCTAGACACGAGGAAGGGTCTACATAGAGTGACCAAGACAGAAGAATGATAAACACCAGGGGAAAGTCTTCCTTGAAAACAATACAATTAAGCTGGAATCTGGAAGGTGAAAAGAAATTTGCTGGTCAAAGGGGAGGGGAGTCTTCTAGGAAGGAAGACCAGCTTGTGTCAAGGTATGAAAGATCCTGGTGTATTATAAGTACTGCATTCAAGGATGTCAAGGGAGGTGCTGTGTCAAGAGCAGATGAAAACTGTCAGGACAAGAGACAAAGGGCTGTTTAGGAGACAGTCGGGAAGGGGGCAGCTATGGGGAGACTCAGAGTGACCTTGTTGCCCGTTTTCTTCTACTGTCTCTCAGCATCTCCATGGAAGGGCAGACTGTTGCTTGTTATGGCGGCTGTGAGGCCCTTATGGACACTGGGGCATCACTGATCCAAGGACCAGGAAATCTGGTCAATAATACCCTGAGGCTCATCGGTGCCACGCCACGGGGTTCCAAGGTGAAAGGCCATGCCCCAGGATTACTCCTTGTCTCCACATGCAACAATGATCTCCAGGGCCAACCTCTCTCACTCTCTCTCTAACAGCACTATGTTTCATGTTCTGCGGTCAATACCCTGCCCTCTATTAACTTCACCATCAACGGCATCAACTATCCCCTGCCAGCTCAAGCATACACCATCAAGGTGAGGAGACAATAATGAGGGTTGGTTTTCAAACTGGAGCTTGCAGGAACCCCTGGGCTGTTGCTGAGAGGAGGGCACCATCTGCAGGGCATGTCACACCATTGTAGATGCTGCTGAGCCTTGTGGCTGGGCCACTGCCTCCCACAAAATCAACTACTTACGAGTAAAGGGCCGTCTGGGACAGTGATCATCCTGAAATAAATGTGGAGACTTCACACCATGCTAGCATGGTGGGAGTCACAAGGTGAGGCAACACTGAGGCCCTCAGTCCTCAGAGAGCTTCAGTTCAATCTGAACCCTTAGGTGCATGAACACGAAGTCAGAACTAGGAGTCCCTGAAATAGGCCATGGTACAAGGAGAATGGCTGGGGACAATTGCAGTGTGATGTCCCATCATAAATTAACAGTCTCCCTTCCCTCTCAAAGTTTCCTGCTTTGGATGACAAATTACATGGTCACCCTAGATCTCGGCTGCTTCTTCCCCTTGCTCTGGCCAGGTGCCCCCTTTGTGAATTGGGGTACCTGACCCGTCTGTGGGGATGTTGGATACTAAGGTGAATAAAGGGTGCACAGTGACTGCTCATCCCAGGCACAGGGTGGAGGCTCCATGTCAGCTCCCTCTGGGAGTACATCGCAGGCTGATGGGCTCAAAGAAGGCTTTGAGGAACCGAGGGAATTTCAGGAATTCTAAAACCACAAACTCATGGAGTCATATGGAGGGTTGCTTGGTTCTAGACAACACTGCACTGGACTCCATGTAAATGGCATCTCAAGGTGCTCTGCACTGGGGCACTGGGGTGGTGAGGGCTACAGACTGACTGGTGGGAATCGGGAACCAGAGTAAGTTACCCAGCCAAGCCTGGAGTGGTCAAAGAGGGTGAATATGGGCCAAAGGCTTCCCAGAGTTCCTGAGTTAAGTCTTCAAGAACATGTTGTGGGCACTGCTATATTTAAGATGTATAACCAACAGTGAGTTACTGTGTAGCACAGGGAACTCCGCTCAGTTATATGACAGCCTGGATGGGAGGGGTATCTTTGGGACCAGGATACATAGCTACATACAATTGAGTGCATTTACTGTTCACCTGAAACTCAGAGGAGACCCAGGGGCCACTATTATTCTTTTCTAAAAATTGTATTGATGTGTGGCTGATCTTCAGTGTCCCCTTAAGTTCTGCTGCACAGCAATGTGACTCAGTTATACACATAAAAATATATATTATTTTTCTTATTCTTTTCATGTGGTTTATCACTGGATATTGAATATAGTTCCTACAGTAAGACTTTGTTGTTTATCATTTCACTGTTTCCCGAAATCCCAGTCATCCACTCACCACACTCTTCCTCATGGCAGCCACATGTACGGGCCCTTTTTGGTTTTGGATGAACTCTCACATACCCTGCCGCTCACAAAACCTCTTGATTCTTACCAAAATAGGGAAATAAATCGAAGAATTGTGCTGGGTCTGGATATTTGTGGGAGTCACACATAAGGGCTCAGGCTGATGGGTGTGTGTCTCTGACTCCCCCAGGATTCTCGCGGCAACTGCTATATCGGCATTAGAGAGAACCGAGTGAGTACATCTACAGAGACCTGGATCCTGGGTGACGTCTTCCTGAGGCAGTACTTCTCAGTTTATGATCGAGGAAATGACAGGATTGGCCTGGCACAGGCAGTGTAAATACTTGGAATGATTCAGGAATGAGTAAGGACACTCTGAACACACACTCACTCACACTAAGGGCATTCCTGCCCAGGATGCTGATGAACTGTATTTGGTGGTCTGCACACCCTATTCTCAGCAAAGAATAAAGGATTTCACTTTTAATGGTGCTGAAACAAATGGGTGCCTCTGTTTGTGTCTGGGAGTGAAGGATCTAGAACCTAGTCTGAATCAAAATTGAGAGAAACCCAACTCCAACTGGCTTCAAGGAAAAGGGAGACTCATTGAAATGATTCTGAGAATCCAGGACACAAGAATCAGAGCAAATCTCAGTGACTGGACCCAGGAAATCAGAAGTCATCAGTTCTCTCTTTCTCACCCTCGCTCTTTCCCGTCCATCTTCTTTGATGATCTTAGCCTGACAACTTTCTTCCTTAAGGCTTCTACACCTAGTGTGGGAGTCCAAGCTACTTCCCCTAGGGTTTTATATCCCCAAGGCATCACCTAGTAAGGAAAGAAGCTAGGAGATATCAGAGTTCAATGGTGTTCTCTTAATGACCCACCTCAGATCACCTGTACAGCCCTAGATCAGCCATCCTAGCAGGGCCATGTGGTCCTATGACTGGCTTTACATGGTCATTGGCCCTGACCCAGCAGTACACATGATTCTCAGTTTCCTCCAGAAATACATGACTGAAGCTGGGGAGAGGCAGTCCCAAGCATAGCGACTAGGGGATGGTCTAGGCCATGGAAGAGTTCGTGATGACCCACCAACTCCACAACTTCCTCATTCAGAGGAATTCTAAGTGGTAATGAAATAGACTCTCTTCATCACATCTCAGATGATCTTATCACTGGGCTTCTCCTCCAGGGTAGTTTAGATGAGGTAGTTCATGCAGAGCTGGTTCCCTCTTGTTCCCACACCCCAATCACCAGCTCTCTGCCACATATGCCTGCTCTGTTCTTTACAGTCCTACTTGGTAAGTGGTGGCCCCAGTGGATCCCTGAGTCATCCCCCTCCTCCAGAGCCCAGAATGCCCTTGGCCTCCAGTGCTGCTGGGGAGAATGCAACGCATGTATCTGGGGACCCAGGATACTCAGAGCCTTCAGCCTTTCTGAGCCTCCTCCAGGGGTGGAACACACAAACTCTTTGCTTGGGGCTGTCATGTTTAGGCACTTTTGCAGGGGGAGCATCCGTTCTTTCCACCTGGAGGCCCTCAGTAGATGCCTCACCTGAGACAGCAGGTGTCAGAGGTTGATTTCCTTTCAGATTGACTGGTTTGATATCCTTGTTGTATAAGGGACTCTCAATAATCTGCTGAAGCACCGCAGTTCAAAAGCTCAGTTTTTTGCCATTCACCCTTTTTTATGGTCCAGATAGCACATCTATCTATGATTACTGGAAAAATCATAGTTTTGACACTACAGACTTCTGTAGCAAAGAGAATCTCTGCTTTGTAATACACCATCCAAGTTTTTTCATAGCCTTTCTTCCTTCCAAGGAGCAAGTGTGTTTTAATTTTGCAGTTGCAGTCAAGGTCCATAGTGATTTTGGAGCCCAAGAAAATAAAATCTTCCACTGTTTCCACTTTTGCCTCATCTATATGCCTTGCAGTGGTGGGACTGGATGCCATGAATGGTGACTATTTTTTTGTGAATAGTTTTTTCAATGTTGAGTTTTAGGTCAATTTTTGCATCTCCTCTCCTCATCAAGAGGTTCTTTAGCTCTTTGCTTTCTGCCATTAGGGAGGTGTCATCTTCATATCTGGGGATGTTGGTACTTCTCCCAGCAATCTTGATTCCAGCTTGGGATTTATGTAGTCCAGTGTATCAAATGATGTATCCTATATAGAAGTTAAATAACGAGAGTGATGATGTACACCTTGTCACCCTCCATTCCCAATTTTAAATCTTTCAGATGTTCCATGTCTTATTCTAACTGCCACTTTTTGATCTACATACACACTTTTAGGAGACAGGTAAGGTGACCTGGTATTCCTGTTTCCTTAAGAATTTTTCACATTTTGTTGTGGTCCACACAATGAAAGGCTTTAGCATAGTCAGTCAAGCAGACAGAAATGTTTTTCTGGGATGCCCTTGCTTTCTCTATGATTGAATGGATGTTGGCAATTTGAAATCTGGTTCCTGAAACTAGTTTGTACATCAGGAAGTTCTCAGTTCATACTGTTGAAGCTTAGCTTGAAGGATTTCAAGCATTAACTTGCTAGCAAGTGAGATGAGCACAATTGCATGATAGGTTGAACATTCTTTGAAATTGTCTTTCTTTTGGATTCGTTGAAAACTGACTTTTTTTCTAGACTGTGGCCACTGCTGAGTTTTCCAAATTACTGACATATTGGATGCATCATTTTATAGCTTCATTCCTTAGGATGATTTAAAGAGCTCAGCTGGAATTCCATCACCTCCACTAGCTTTGTTGGTAGTGATGCTTCCTAAGGCCCACTTGACTTCATACTCCAGTATATCTGGCTTTACAAGAGTGACCCAAGCATCATCCCTATCCCGAATTTTTTACCATTTTTGTACAGTTCATCTCGGCATTTTTGCCACCTCCTCTTAATCTCATTTGCTTCTGGTAGATCTTTGACTTTGCTGTCCTTTATTGTCCCCATCTTTGCATGAAGTGTTCCTCTGGTAGCTCCAATTTTCCTGAAGACTTCTATACGCTTTACAATTCTATTATTTTCCTCTAATTCTTGCACTGTTCACTTACGAAGACTTTCTTATCTCTTCTTGCTTTTCTCTGGAGGTCTGCATTCCACTGGGTTTATCTTATGCCTTTTCCTTTGCCTTTCACTTCTCTTATTTTCTCAACTGTTTTTAAGACCTCCTCAGGCAACCACTTTTCCTTCTCATATTTGTGTTCCTTGGAGATGCTTTCGGTGACCACCTCCGAAACAATGTTACAAACCTCCATCCATAGTCCTGCAGGCTAATCCCTTAAATCTATTTTTCATCTCCACTATATAATCGTAAGGGATTTGATTCAGGTCATAGCTGAGTGTTCTAGTGGTTTTCCTTACTTTCTTCAATTTAAGCCTGAATATTGCTTGCTTCTGCCCAAGCATTGGTGCTAGATCACCACCCACCACTCCCAGTGGGTGTGGAACAAAAACACACAAATTGAGGACTGCTGCCCTGGGTTTTTGCTTAGCGATTCACATGCATAGGTGTGTGAACTTGATCATGTCCCTTAACCTCAGTTTTCTCATCTAGAAAATGGGCACCATGATGATTATTCCACCTTCTAGATTGCATGTGTGCCTGCTAAGAACAAGTGGTGCTGAGAGGGCTTTATGGGTTCCTGAGTCTGGAGCAAATATGAATTATCCTCCCACCCGGGGAGAAGGGACTCTTCTGTTCAGAGGTTATGGCTGACATCCCCAAGGCTAAATATTGATTCAAGCCAAATGACCTCTATTTCTGAACCATGACACAGAACTCTGAGTGGATGCATCTGTTTTCTGGGGTACAACAAGAGCTAATAATTACTGGCTCAGATTACTCCCTTCCCAGCCTTACCTGTCAGCCTTTCCTTGCCAACTACTTCTAGCCTAAAATTGCACTGCATGGAGAATTGTAAGGCTTTTGGTCTCTTGTCAGTTTCCCACATCTCCAGCATAGCAACAAGTAGCTGTTATGGCTATTTGTCATAGCAACATCTATGGCAACCTGTACAGTCCAATTTCAGTCTGTTAAATGAAACTGTCCCCATTTGGCCCCTCATGTTAAAATTACCTACAGTTGCCTTAGAAACCTTCCTATGCTTCCTGTTTAACGATGAAATATGTGTGGACCTCATCTAGTTTTCTTTCCCAAGCATGATTCCAAGCATGCAGTAAAGTAACCAGACACTGACTCATCTAACTATCCACAGGAACTGACAAAAGCAAAATACCCATTGTGCATTTCTTGCTTGCCCCAAAACACCATTGAAGTTATCTACTACAACAAAGGGATACGTTGGCATGTACACTCCAGAAAGGACACATTTTCTGGATTTGTTTTCCACCTAGTGCAGAATGTTTACCACATGCCTTGCCCTCCAGCAGCTGGTCACCTGGTTTTTGCAGACTCAGCCCACTCCAGTTTCTTTCCACATCCCTCAGTATAATCTAGAGCAAAAACTCAGTTAAAGCTCTCACTCCTGCAAAAAATAGCTTTTTGTTTTTTATTAGAAAACTATGTTTGGTAACACATTCAATATCTTGTGCTCCTTGCATTGGATTCAAGGACCTGGACCAGAGAATGGGAAGCCTCCCTTTCCACATAAATCTTTTTTCCACTCCCACCAGGGCCAGAGGCTTCACTGGACACTCTGTTCTCATTGGTATCATTCAGTTGGCCAAAGTGTTGGAGGTTCAACTTCAGCATTGTTCCTTGCAAAGAATATTCAGGAATGATTTCCTTTAGGATGGACTGGTTGAATCACCTTGCAGTTCAAGCGACTCTCAAGAGTCTTGTCCAACACCACAGTTCAAAAGCATCAGTTATTTGGTACTCAGCTTTCCTTATGGTCCAACTCTCACATCCTCCCACAACTTCTGGAAGAAGCCATAGCTTTGACTATACAGAGGATTACTGGTAAAAGAATGTCTCTCCTTTTTAGTATGCTGTCAAGGTTTGTCATAGTTCCCTCCCCCCCGCCCCCAAGGAGCTAGTGTCTTTTTTTTTTTTTCTTTCACAGCTTCAGTCACTATCTGCAGTGATTCTGGATTCCAGGAAAATAAAGTCTGTCATTGTTTTCATTGTTTCTCCATTATATGCCATGAAGTAATGTAACTGGAGGCAATTATGCTTGTTTTTTAATCTCTATACACAACATCAAGGCCACGCGCAAGAAATGAAATGCAAAAATGCAAAATGGTGTCTGAGGAGACCTTACAAATAACTTAAGAAAGAAGAAAAGCACAAGCCAAAAGAGAAACAAAAGACATACCCTATGAATGTAGAATTCCAAAGAATAACAAGAAGAGATTTTAAAAAAAGCCTTTCTA